ACTCTCTTATTTGAATATTGAGATGTTTGATTTATCGTCGTGAATTACAACGTGTATATGTCTCTATGTTCCCTAAGGTTCTTTGTCGTACATATCTGATTTATTTTATTTTAATTTTTTCCCCCAAAATTTACTCTCTTATTTGAAGATTGAGAGCTATTAATTGTTTGATCACGGTTCCTCTCCCCCCTCCCCCGGGAAATCTAAACAATATTTTGCTGTTTTAGCGGCATTGGATTTCAGATCACCTGAAAAGATTGTGATTTTTATTCAAATTCTTCTAATTGCATCCACAAATGTTGAGTTTCGTTTTAATTGTACTGATTCTTTTTTTGTCACTAATTGTGTTATGTAGGGTAAAAAACTATGGAACACTTCCAGAACAACGAGCTTGAGTACATTTTTGATGATTACTATAATGTCGCTGATTTTGATGAAGATGACTTTTCACCACGAAGTGTAAGCAATTCAATTGACGATGACTTTATGGACTCCGATTTTGAGGATGACTTTGAGCTGGTAATGAATTTTTCTGAGTTACTGAAACTGTATTTCTTTCTTTTTCTTGATCGGGAAAGTTACAATTTTAGTTAATTGTTTGGATATTTTGTGTTTAACAGAGCAAGCCAAAGACTGATACATCAGCTTTAGAAGCCAGGAATGGCAAGGATATCCAGGGGATACCATGGGAGAGGCTCAATTTTACTCGAGAAAAGTACAGAGAATCGAGATTGAAGCAATATAAAAATTATGAGAACCTATCACGCTCTCGTGAAGACCTTGAGAAGGTATTGAATTTTCTTTCTGTTCCATTGTTAATTGCATTCAATTATTATCTTTTTTGTCTTGTCAAACGTGTGTTCTAAAATAATTCTTTTTGAGCGTGTGTTTTACAATAATACTTGCAAAAGGCTTGAACAAAAAATATGAAATATTTTGAAAAATGAGTGGAGAGTGTATAAGATAAATTGTCTTGGACATTCCAGGGCCTGGTTCTAATAAGATCTTGGGAATTTTAACTTATGTCTTGGAGGAGTTGCTTTTTGAGCCTACAGTTTTCTCAGGTTGCTTATTATCTTGTGATTTTGTATATACTTTTGAGTACTCCAAATTTGGATATACATCTGAACCCTACAAAGCAATTTTATCTAGTTCCTGTGATTACAATATACAGAATAGAGCTCCTGTAATTCTCGTGATTTTCTCGAGTTGCACTACCCCTACTTATGTGCATAGTCTTTCTTTACTTCACTTTTTTGGTATTATAACTTCTGCACGGATTGGTTTTTTTTATGGTTTTCTTGCTAAAATGCATTTTCTTGGGTTCAGGAGTGCAAAGAAGTGGAGAATGGCCACAACTTCTATGATTTTCAATTCAACACGAGGCTGGTCAAATCAACAATAGTGCATTTTCAGGTAGAGACGACCTCAACTAGTCTTCAACTTTTATATTTTTGTTATTCGTTGATCAAAAGTGGTTTTGTTGTTGAAAGGCACATACATGTAGTATGGTTTGTAATTATACCCATTTTTTCTTAATATGTTTGTGAAATAATCATTTTTAAAATTGATATTTTTCTATTGCTCTGTTAAAACTTCCAGTAATGTGTCATTCATTTTTATTTTAAAACAATCATTGGTGCATTTGGTTGGATGTCCCTCGTTGCGGTTGACCTTCAATACTGTAACATCTATCCTCTTCCTCTTTTATTTATTTTTTTCTTCCCATTTTTATGGCCTTCATAAGTGTAATAGTAGTAATAACAATAATATGCTTGGTCATATTGAGGTCTATCTTTTTCATTTTAATTAATGCATTTGGGCTGGAATTTTGTCTACCTATTTGCAATTACCTATAGTAGTTGGTCATGTTACAACCTCTTGCATCTTTGACAGCATTTGAAGGAAATCACCTCCGTGATAGGATGCTTATCTTTGTAGCTCTGTTTCAAAAAGTTCTCTTGTTATTTGTTTTTCTATGGACTTCTTCACACATATGCCATGAGGAAGTTTTGCAGGGGTTGTCTTTGTGTGTTGATGTTTTATGGCTCTATACGTTAGTATTCTAGCTGTGCCCTTAATCCTTTTTTTGGAAGGTATGGTGTTTCTAGATGTATTTCTGTTGGAGCTCAAATGTTCATCATCCGTATGCTCTTGCATGTAAATATAGCTTTTCTACCACTAACTCAATTCACACGTGTTCCAGAAACAATACATCTCAGAGGCGACTGTGTTTGAGACCATCCTTGTTCTTGCTTTGAACCTGGTGAATTTTGCTGATTATATAATTTAACGTTTCCATAATACTATTATCTTCCATAGACAAGTCCATGACTTGTAACTTTTGCTAGAGGATGAGACTTTTGCTAGGTTTGTTTTGTTACTTCAAAGAATTAATCTTCAAAGGAGCAACTTGAAATAGTAACCTCTCCAGAAGTTAACATTAGCGAACTTTGAAATCTTTATTTTATTAATGATTATGTTCGTTCCCAGTTCAACTAAAGTTGAGCTGGGATTTGTATTTACTGGATCCTTTTTGTGCAGATTGTTAACACTTGCCAAGAAACTTAATTATGTTAGAAGATCTTGTTTTGGAAGATACAATACTGAATATAAGCTACCTGGTTTCCAAACAGCTCACTGCTTTTGAAGCCAGGAAATGATTATGGGACCATATGGTGAGAAATAACTTAGCCTTACTAACACGCACACCATTTGTAATTGCTTCTTGATTTCATTCTATTGTTATTGTGTACCTTCTGACATAAGTTCACATCCCACTAACAAATATGCAAGGCTTACTGTGCATAACAAAACTACTACTAGTAGGAAAAACTATATATATTGCTTTTAGTTTTGATGTCTTTTTCTCTCTGGTTTCTTAGTGTCTGGATTTTCTTCTGATGGTTGTACTTTTTGAATTCTATAGCTTCTAACAATTTCAAGAGTATGGGCAAGCTTTTAGCTTGGTATAGTGTTCATCCATACCACGTGTATTTTACCCATTTCGAAGGCTATTAGCCTATTACATACATATTATAGCGTACACTAAAGATTTTTCTGGTTAGCAATATTTTTGCAGTGCTCAAACTTTGTGCATTGGGAAAATAATAGAAGGTGCAAAATTAAATCTGTAAAATGAATGTATGTAGAGTATCCTGGTGACATGAGAATGTGGTTGGTCTTCACGTGCATTGAGCTCATGTTTGAGCCCCATTTTTGTTCAAACTCATTTTTACCCTCACATTCTCCCAATAAAATAATTTTGCACGTAAATCCAAAACTTTTCCCTACCTCTTAATTACACATTCCAAAAAATCACTATTACAAAATCTCTATTCTCTCAGAAAATGGGGCTCAAACAAACCATTAGATTTTCTTTTTCCTTTTTTCCTCCCCCCCTCTCTCTATCTCTCTCTAGTATGCTGAACGTTTTTATCAAAATTTTGTTTTGAATATAATCTTTATGGCAAAATGAAATTTCTTTGTAATTTAACCATGCCATGTGGGACTGCTATTTTATCTTTATTTCAGAAATAAAAGCAGGAAGGCAGTTTTATCTGAGCAGCTGGCGCAATAAGGAAACGTTTCAATATGGTATGATAGGGAAATACCCGAGCATTTAAAGAGGCCTACTTAGAAATTTCTGTACCTAGTATTAGTCTTTTCTGCTCAGGAACTCAGTTTTACTATCAATTTATCCTAGTCAAGAACTCAAATTATCTCATCGTGCACAGTGCATACTTATGTTCCATGCAGTTTATTATTCTGTTGTTACTCAACGTGTTCTTTAAATGATTTCCATGTTATCACTGTTGCTCATAAGGGCTGTGTTAACATTCAGGGGATGATATTTTTACCGATTAGATACCATTTAATGACGTATATGTAGAAGCAAGATTGAATTATGAGATTGATGTTTTACTTATCCGCTGCTCTGGTCATTGTTGTCTAACTTCCGTTAGTGCCAGGGGCAGTGGAGAATTTGGCTTGGAGAATGAGCTCGTAGGACTCATTCTTTTAGCTTTTTTGGTTGAATATGGTTTTTGTTTGCCATTTGAAGATTTCAATATTTCAAAGTTACTATCTTCTAGTATAGAACATGTCACGAGTTATGTGTCTTGAACTATATACCTGAGCCCACTTAATATTAGTAATCTAATTTCATTTGCAGTCTTACTATGTTTTCATTAAATTTTACTGCCTTCACTTGTATGTTCGTTGGTTTTAACTTGACCTCGACAGTTTGAACTTAAAATTGTAAAGTTCATGGTTCATAGAGTCCCTTGTTGATTTGGTTCTGTCTTGTATTATTTTGTTTATGATATTTTATTTGCTTTTAATTATCATGGAGCATGTAGTTATAAGATGGTCTGCATTCAAAGTGCCGGATGTGACCGAGTACAGTCTTCATGTCTTAGCATTGTCTTAAAATGTCAAGATACTGTGATAACTTTCCATGTTTAGCGCCCTCAGTAATGTGTTTATTCTTCTCTTTCTCCATGTAAATAGTTCTCTCTCTTCTCTACCCCTTGCTGCTTCCTTTGTCTTTTCCTTTTTGTCTCTTGTTTTTGTGTTTAAGCTTGTAATAGAGACATATGTCTCATTCTCTCCTTTTTCACGATTGAGTCATCAATAAAGTTGTTTGATGTTTTCACTTTATTCCCCCTGAAGGCTCTGTTGTAGTCATTTTACTTTGATCCTACATGCTGTTTGTATTGTCAATAAGAAAGAGGTGATTGTGGAGCGATTAGTTAGATAGAGTTGAGTGGTGCCATATGGCAGCTAGAAAATTGAGCTTGCCTGCTCCGGCCACAAAGTTTGATGTCTTCATATATTAAGATGAACTTAGCCTTTTGATCTTTTATGCTTTTCTTCCTTTTGCCTTATGTTCTCTTCCTGATTTGTTTTAGGGTAGAAGTTAATATAGGATGTAACTAGTTTTATTTCTATGTTATCAAATGTCAACTTATCAGGTTTCTAAATCTTCCTTTTCTCTCTCTTAACTTTTTTTATTTATTTTTATAGATATATTTTTTTCATTTTAGTCTTTTAGTTGGATGCCATTATGCATGGAGTACTTTTATCTGAATACACACACTTCATGTTTTACTTATAAATCTTTTATGGACCATGATCATTGTGTGTGTGTGTGTGTTTTTTTTTTTTTTTTTTTTTTTTTTTTTTAAATTCTCTATTAGGAGATTGTTTCTGAGCTATTGCATATATGATTTGATGTTTTACTGTATTTTTTTTTTTTTAACTCCCTGTCGGAGATTGTTTCTGTGTTATTACATATATGATTTGATGTTTTATTTAATCTGCCTGCTAACTGCTCCTTTTACCGTTCAGCTGAGGAATCTCTTATGGGCAACCTCAAAGCATGATGTGTATCTTATGCAAAACTATTCTGTAATGCACTGGTCCTCTCTTCTACGAAGGGGTAAAGAAGTACTCAATGTTGCCAAACCTTTAGTCCCAACCCTAGTGAGTTGCATTCCTCAAATTTTATCTTCTCTTTTGAAATTTGAGAAATTATAAAATTTTAGAAATTCATTTTTGCTTAAGCTTTGTGATTCATTTGGCAGAATTATCCTGGATGTTTAGCAGAGCCACTTTCTAGAGTTCAGATAAGTACTATGACGGTGAATGACAATCTTATGGTTGCTGGTGGTTTTCAAGGAGAGCTTATTTGTAAGGTAGGTTTTAATTACGTGAAAATGAAAATCAAAAAGTTGCTGATTCAAAGTTGATGGGTGTTTTTATGTTATTATTTGGTTGTGTAGCATTATTTATTTCTTGTTTTCACAGCATATAAACCAACCTGGAGTTGCATTCTGCACAAAAATTTCAACTGATGAAAATGCTATTACCAATGCTGTGGATGTATATCACAACCCTAGGTACGAATTTGATTTCATAGTGCTTTTGGAATTCTTAACTGCTCATCATTAGCATGGGCATTCTTAAGTGATGGCCTTACATAATTTTCTTGGCAGTGGCTCAAAGAGAGTTATGACGGCAAACAATGATGCTCAAGTCCGAGTTTTTGATGCTGTCAACTTTGCTTGCCTAAGCCGTTTCACATTCCCGTGGTCTGTGAACGTGAGTGACAGGAAAATAATATTTGAAATACAGAATATATGGTTATAACTTGTAATTATCTGATCGGCGTATTTCCTTTATTGTTACAGAATACATCCGTAAGCCCTGATGGTAGACTTGTTGCTGTCCTTGGGGACAGTCCTGAGTGTTCAATTGCTGATGCAGAGTCGGGGAAGGTCAGTCGCACTTCAAGATTTTCTTCCGTTGCTTAATCCCATGTTTTTAATGCTAACTCGCTTGTGCTTGCAGGTTCTCAGCAACCTGAAGGGGCATCTCGACTATTCATTTGCTTCTGCCTGGCACCCTAATGGCCAAATTTTAGCTACTGGAAACCAGGATACAACCTGCAGATTGTGGGATGTAAGGAACCTGTCAGAGTCCTTCGCTGTACTCAAAGGGAGAATGGGTGCAATCAGGGCCATAAGATTCTCATCAGATGGGCAATTTATGGCAATGACTGAACCTGCTGACTTTGTTCACATATTCGATGCTGAATCTGATTATGCCCGTGGTCAAGAGATTGATCTGTTTGGTGAGATAGCCGGAATTTCCTTCAGCCCTGATAGTGAAGCACTGTTTGTTGGAGTTGCAGACAGAACATATGGCAGCTTGTTGGAGTTCAACAGAAAACGTCATGACCACCAGTATCTGAACTGCATGTTTTAGATAAATTGCGGCTGCTGATTCTAAGATATACTTCAATCGTGTATTTTCTTTGTTTTCAACTGTGTTTGACGAATAGATACTGTTAAATGATTGTAACCAAATATCTTCAGCATCAGTTGATCCTTTAGGTTGCAATTTGCTCACAATTAGTATCTGTTCAGTGATTTTTTCTATAAGAAATGGAAAAATTTTGCAGATGTGTATATATGCGGTTGTTTTATTGTAAACCAAAATGTTTAATAGTTGAGTTGTTTGTTCTGCCATTTTTACGTGTCTTCTTTTCCTTGTACATTTCTTTCGTTGGTTGCACTTTCATGTGTCTAGCATTTGAAACAACAAATGTGGCATCATACAGAGCTGTCAATGGAGAATTATAGACCAAATTAGGGTGCTACACGCTGGTCAACATTGAGATTTGTTTCGACTCTGTCCAACTTTAAGGTTATATATAAACACTTCATATTTTGAGTTAATTGTTCCAATAGTCACTGAACTTTAATTCATGTCTTTGATTGGTCATTGAAATTTAAAATTTCTAGTTTTGGTCACTGAATTTAGGTTAATATCTTCGATTGCCCACTAAAATTTAAAATGTCGAATTTTGGCCACTGAACTTTAAAAAATGTTGTACATTACTTATTGAAATTTGAAAAATGCTGAACATTACTCAATGTAAATTGGATATTTTTCTAAGTTCAACAGTTTTGCTAGTGAGTAACGTACGGCGTATTTCAAACTTTAGTGGTCAAAACTCGATATTTTAAATTTCAGTGAGCAATTGAAGATATGGACCTAAGTTCTGTGAACAAAACTCTACATTTTAAACATCAGTGACCAATTAAAGACATGGACCTAAGTTCATTGACCATTGGAACAATTAACTCATAAAATCTTCTGCTTCTCCCAAGTTTTGATATTTTTCTTCGTAATTGATCAAAAAAAGACAATTTCAAGAAATCCAAGCCTCCATGGTAAGTTCATAAGTATTGTCCTACATCAAAATTGAAATGAAAGAAGATAGTGAAAGCAAGGCATTAATGTTGCAAAAAACAATTGTGTTTCCATCTTATGTGAAGTCCTACTTGTAGCGACATAGGAGCCATATGAAGGCCGCATTATGTGGACAAGTCGAGGTTGATGAGCTTTACGCCCAAACTAGTTTTAGTGACGAGACATACATGTTGGATATTGGTTAAATAAATCGAGAATTGAAAATCGATTAAAGTGACTTCGCATCGATTTCGGCCAAATACTCAAAAGCTCGACTCAATCCATTTAGACAAAATTGTTTGCCACTTCGCCGCTTCGGGGCGCACAAACGGGGATCGACCTGGTGAATGACTTCGGCCAAATTCTCTGCATGTATTGAAGGGTATATTTGGCATTTCGAAAATCAATATCGGATGAATGAGAAATTACGAAAAATGACGAAAATCAGGTCAAAATATTTGACCGTGCGACCGCACGGTTGTCTGGTGAATAGACACATTTTCATAAAGGTGCATTATTTGGAAAGGGTGCATGGTTTGGCCTCAACCATTTCGTCCACACCCTTTCATGGTCTATAAATAGGACCCTTTGGGTATCCTATTCCACACAATTTGATATGCAAAATATCTTTCATCCTCACTTCTATCCAAAATCAAAATCATTTCATTTATTTTGATTTTCCTTCATTTCATCCTTGGAGTACATAAGCCTAATTTTGGTTCGTTGTACTTGTGTTTTGGAGTGCTACAAATACAAGTGTAGCCGTTGTATCTTGGGAGTCGATTGCCGACATCCGTAGGCACCGTTGCAGGGCAAATTTGACTTAAGGACAAAGAGTCCAACTCTTACCTCGACTTTGTCCCTATTTTCTTCTTCTTGTTGTTTGTGTTTTCTTTGCCGTTACTCTGTCCAATTTTCGGCACGAATTTACAAACCATCATTATACTTATTTTGGCGTCACTATTCACAAAATTCGTCCAACAATACAATCATGTATACACTAACATCAATTTAGAGACACGAAAGAGCCTGTTGAAAAGATGGAGATGCTCTTTTACTTGAACTCTATAAACACCCCTCTAAACTCTCAACCAAGATATGTGAATACGTTGAGTCCTAGTTGTATCGACATTGAAGCCACATGAAGGCTGCTATTTTGTCTTGGTTATTAGAGTGCATATGACTGTTGCACTATTTTTCAAAACAATGATCTTGCATTCTAACATGTGCTACTAACGTGTAGACATGGATGTGGTTGGATATTGTTGACTTTGGGGTCGTTTAAATTTTGAAGTCAACAAATATTATTTTCTAGTTTCTATTAATCATAATTATTTTAATTATATAATTTTCTAACTTCTTATTTTATCACAGTATATGCGAAATTAACATGGTCGTATATGTTTAATTTTGGAGTTATATCCTTCCCTAGCCAGTAAAGATCACAATTTGTAGATGGCCTTTTTGAGTCTTAGACACGTTTCTTATTCTCCACTCTTGCCCCTGTTTGATCCCCATTACATTAAATTCTATTACATTTCATTTTTCTCTCTCCTATTTTCAACCACACAATCTTTCATAAAATAATATTATACGTAAATCGAAAATTTTTCATTCTTTTTCAACCATTCATTTTTCAAAAAAGCACTATTCCCCTCATTAATTTTCCTACGTAATGGGAATCAAACAGGGGCTTAATCTTATTTTTCTTATATTGTTTTATTATCATTTTTCAAACCCACACCAGTAAGCTGCATGACTTATCGTATTACACTTTTTTCTTTTTGGTATTCTGTCATCTCATGACATGTTCTGTTATCTCAAATAAATACCACAACTTCAACACGAAACCATTAAAGTGGACCAATCAAGTGCCATTTGTAGTTTGATCAAAAAATGTTCCATTGACAAGTTTTGATCGACGAATCAAATGCAATTTCTCGTGGATTCGGAAAAATTAGTATCTTTGAACAAATCGGCTGTTCTTGAGGTTGACATAAGACTACCCTGAAAATGACCAAAGAAGACTCCATATGAATCCCACTGTCTCGTAACGTAAAAGAGGCTGTGTGACCGGCTCACAATGTCATAAAATAAAAATATATTTAATTGCAGAAGTTGGTCAAGTGATCAGATGAGGCCCAGTATTGCACTGTTTACCTTTGCTTTTTGTTGCATATATTGGTGAAAAAACGCGTTTTCTCGATCACAATAGAATTACAATAATACGTAGAATTAAAAGTTATTGCATACCATTCGTATTAAATATTATATATATCAATCATATTATATGGTAACTCTAGTACCACGTTAATTTTGTGTTGGAAAATCGAAATTCAAAAAACAATAATCAAATAACGAACACATGGTTGTTTAGTGCTTACTCGTGAGACTATATGGATGTCTAACGATAAATCCATATTTGTGTACTATGTCTATTCTACCTTTTAATTTTTTGGAACTTGTTTATTTTCCCTTTTTATTTATTTTTTTTTTCGAAGTTTTTTTTTTTTTTTTTTTTTTAATGAAATTTCGATTCAATCACAAATCATTTTAGTCGTAAAATTTGGAGAGCAATTATTTTGTACGAGTGTAGAGTTCTTAACCAAGGGAACTTGGGTGAGTAAATTCAACATATCGTGTCAAAATTTCAGTATGCCACGTTACACTAATCACTTCCACGAACTACTGCATGCAACTTGTTTGAATATTCACCAACATTTGAACAATTGACTAAAATATTTTTAATAAGACAAAATATTTTCAAAAATTTTCTAAATTAAATATATCGAAAAGTAATATATTTTTTTTCTTCCCTAGAAACGACCTATGAAATTGACGCAGAGTCTTTCATGGACATGATTTCACATATGAGGTTCATATCTGAATATCTAATTTCTTTTGTTTTAATTCTATGAAGCAAGGTTAAGTTCTAAAATTCTTACCTCATAAATTAGCTGAATCGAAAGTCAAAACTTGACTTTTACTTTAATAAATGAATGATATCAGTAAAAGATGAAGGCTTTTTTCTTACAGCATCATCATTATTCTAGTAGTAGGATATATTCATAGATTTTTTAATCTAAAAAGTCAAAAATGATGGCACAAGGTGAGCTCTTGAAAAAATTACTAGCACGTTAGATCCATATCTAACGCATCCGCGTGGTTAGAAAATCAAGTTAATTGGTAAGACAAATTAAGACAAAAACAATAGAAAGTGTTTCACTTGATACTTTTCTTTACAAAGACAAATAAAGACAAAGACAAAGACAAAGATAATGATTGACATAATGTCATGCGACGCTTTATCGTTGGACTATTTTAAACACAGTTAGCTGTTCCATTCAATCAACTCCTGCCACGACATCTTTGGTCACAGTATCTGGTGGGATTTTTCAATCAAAATAGCAATATTATTTATCTTTATGTATGTAGTCATGTAAAGAACTCTTTTTCACACTTAAACACGGATTTTTGTTGAAGAAAATTAATGGATTTCTGGACTCCTTTTGAGTCAAAACACCTTTAGGCTTTGGCACTGGTCAATTTATGAATATTCTCCAAATATTGGAGATCAAACCCACAAAAATATCTTTTGTTCGTTTAAGTTCACAACTTATTTTTGTGTGTCTATTGTGTAGTATTAAACTGTTAATTATGAATTAAGAGATGCATTTTCCTCACGTGTAATGCTTTGATAGTTGGCAAAAAATGCTAGAAAAAGTTGGAAGGACTACCGTTTAGAGTTTTGGACCCAACCAACTCGCTTGGTACGATACATTTGAGTTCGAGTTCAGAGTCGGAATTATTATTTTAATTTCTCCAACTATATATCAACAGATACGAGCAATGGAGAACGTGACAAAATTTTTCGATCTATATCTTCAAAACATAGGTGAACATCCAAATAAAATAAAGAGTTGTTTGGTCCAAATTTTTTAAAACTCATTTTTTTTCAAATTAATCTTCATTTACATATTTTATGAGACCTATAATTTTTTATCAACTTTTTAACTATATATTTCCTCAATTATTAAAATTTTAAAATAATTTTTGACCAAACGTGGGCTAAATAAGACAGCCCATCCCCACCGAGGTGGTGGTGGTTCAATGAACTTCACCAAAGAGAAACTGGCGCCGCAAAATAAAGATACTGTCAAGCCCATGTGTTTGACCCGATTCATGCGCTTATATGTCAAATAAAATAATATTTATGTGACTGAAGAGTGAATAAATAAGATTAGTGTTTTGGTATGAATTTTGTTAATTAATTTTTTTGACAGTTAGAAATAAAGTGATTCCTACTTGTGAAAGAATAATTCAAAAATGACAGCTGAAATAATGAAATAACGATCAAAAAATTAATATTAATTAAATTAAAATCTCTACCAAACATACTCTATTATTACTTTTGGTGAGATATATAATATTATATAATATTTTTCTAGGATAATATATTCACCGTATATAGAATTAAAAGAAAAAATTTAAAACTTATTAAATTTGAAACTCTTTAGAATTACAAAATAAAAGAATAATCCAAATTTTAAAAAAAAGAAAAAAGAGAGAGAAATTAGTTAAATTAACTATGGGTAATATTGATATTTTAATTAAAAATTGATTAAGCTAAAAGCATAATTCAAAAAACTACTTTTTGGCTGCTTCTAAACATCTATTGTTAGTCGTTAGATGGAACGAATTCTTCTTTAATCAAATTCATACCCAACTGCACCTTTTTATTAGAGTTTTCTCGAGAAAATCATCTTGGAACAACTTATTTTTTAAAAAAAAAAATCTAACTAAAGAAAATAATTATAGAAAAATATCCAGATAAATTAAAAAATAATTTTAGAATCAACTATTAACTTTTCAAAATTTGTACCAAGCAAGCCATATATATAATGATTAAAATCAATATGACAATTGACAACCCTTAAAATCAAAACTATCTTTACAAAAAATCAAAACAATAAAATTACTTTATTGAATTATAATCAAAACAATAAAATAAAGATGCTCTCTTGTGCAGCTGTCCACGTGAGACCCGTACGTTTGATCCGCTTCATACGCTATAGGGTGTTCTATGCT